TCCTCTCTCTCTCTCTCTCTCTCTCTCTCTCCTGTCTTCGTCTGGAAGCAACGCGTCTGCCGCTTGCGGCCGCGCACGGGAAATGTGTGGCGAGTGACGTGACGCCCGCATTCAACGGTTGTGATGGAACTGGTCAAGCATTTTGAACCGTACAGATACGCGTAATATTTGGTAGTGTGTGAAGTGCATCTATTCTCTTAATGCGGAACATATCTTTCTCATATTAAGACCTAATGCATCTCTATTCTCTTAACTATGATACCTAATATGTACATATCTACATATTTATCGTAAAATGTATTGTATGACAAATAGATGCAAGTAGTAAGATAAGGATGATGCCAAGAACATGAGATGCAACAAAAAATACGATTCCCTCGTCGAGAAATCAAGTCAAATTTGAGTCGAATCATTCAGCAGTCAAATTGGGTTTGCAGTCCATTAAAAACCACTCTGCAAACAAGTCAATGTAACACCGCAGCCATCTTATGGTCAAACTGGTCAACTTTCCTAGCAACCCCTTGGACAAGGCAAAGAATGACAAACCCCAAAGCAAGAGAGACCAAATTACTCTAAAGAACAAGGAAATGCTAAGATAGATAGAGAGGATGAACAGTATAAGTATCGTAATAGTATGAGAGAGAGAGAGATAGAGCAAAAAGTAATACATACAAAGTAAAGATTCTATGGATGACACACGAGTAACTATTTTCTGCATAAAACGTGCTAAAATAAAGCAAGCTAAAACATGACATATATATCACTGAGGACATGATCATGGAAGTCAGGTTGAGGCTTCATCTACTACAAGACATGGCATGGGAGTCATCAAGAAGAAGGGGCGAGAGAGTTAGCAGGCAGGTTGATCCCACCCCCTCTCAGCGAGAGGGCGGGGCCTCGGTGCGAGCTGGCCCTGCTAGCCAGGTTGGGGTCGAGGAAGACGACAATGACCGTGATGTCATCGTGGAAGTGGCGACGGACCCCGCGATCGATCTTCTTGAGGTCGGAGTATCTCATCTCTCGTTTCTTTGCTGCTTCCTGAAGCACGGCTTTGATGAGCCGCCGAGCACTTCCCTGCAGGAGTTCATGCAGATCACACTAAAATGTCACCAAGATTCACAAAATGTAATACAAAAAGCATTGTGATAGAAACTTGCGTCATGAATAAGAAGACAACCATGCATTATATAACTCGATGGCATAGATTAGTAGTATCAGAAACAACCAAGAAATGGGTGAAGATGTACGAGTATGTTTATATACTACAACACATTCTTGCCAAGAGAACCTCTTCCACATTCTTTATGTTTATCTACTACAACACACTCTCAAAAGTAATAAATCTGGTATATGGGCATTTCCGATGTAAATTGGCAAAGATCGGAGAGGCATTGGCTGATCATGGTGTGGACCAGCTGGATTGGATTGGGATCAGATGATGCAAGTGGACCTTCTCTTTCCCACTAATTGGGTTTTCCCTGATTCCTCCAAGAATCATATGCAGTTATTTAAGGCTAAAGCAACTCTATCTAAATGATGAAACTGTTTCCAGTTTCAACACAATGAACCAGTTCATAATTTAATTCTACTCACTGAATTTGTATCATCAATGCGTCCTAAACCCTCCAACTCCCACATTAATGACATTTGCTGGTCAAATATTATTATCATGTACAAGCATCCAATATATTAACTATTATTCATTTATCATTAGTTCTATAATCTGAATGGATGTTAATTTAATCAGATAAAGTAAAAAATATACAGCAAAATTAGATGACTTTAATAAATAGGTAAAGTTAAGACTTCAACCTTAAAGCCAAATCATCATAATTCAACATGAATGTATCTCCGCATGAATAGAAAAAAAAAATGCTAATATAGTTTTGAGATAGAGAACATACACTGCGAGGGTTATTATGAACAATATCCACAGCTTCTTGGTTGTTGAGATGCTCCCATAGCCCATCAGATGCAAATATAAGAAATTGATCTTGTGGTTGAAGTGGTTGTACAGAAATTGATGGTTCTGAGCTGAGTAAAGGCTTTTTGAAAGGTTCACGAAGTCGAAACTTGGGATACAAGGGTTCACGGTTAAATTCTGCCTTCTTAAGGTATACATCACCAATTGATCTAGAAACCTACAGAGCGTGAAGGAATGCATTTAACACTGATAGTCTACAACATAATACTTACATGATAATTGCATAACAAAAACTGATGTGCAAACAAAAGGTTAAGAGCAAGTTTATGTGTAAGAATCTTGGGACCACAGGTAAACTAGCAAAAGTCATGCTATAAATGATCGGCAACACAGTTCATAATTCACTCGACAAGTTATTCAATACCCTAATCTTGCAAATCTAGAGCACTTACAAACCCATCATCTATAGACATGGCGAATCCAAATACTATGGGAAAATTGTGAGAATGCAAGAAGAGCACAGTCAAACATGAGGTTAAAACCAAGCCAAGGGTGTAGAATTTAACAGCTTTAGGACATGTATCAAGTAAATGAAGAAAAAAGATGAAAAATGAAAAAGAAACAACACTGTATAAAACCATTGTTTCATTTTAGTCATTAGAATTGAAATATGGCTTGGGCCTTTCTTTCAAAAAAATGTAAAAATAATTCATAAATATTGATTAAGATGCAATGGCATCTAAGAACTATATGTGTAGGTTTTAGGTAGTATTACATCATAATGAGTGATCCATATATGACACTAAAGCAAAACATCCAAAAACAAATACCAGTCATTAATATTGACATAACAAGTTTTGAGGGAAAAAAAGAATTCCAAATTTTCACATTTCATCTACATGAAAAATTATATACTGAAGTAACATGCTGAAACTCAGGTAAATTGCAATTTGAAGCCAAACAAGAAAGGAGAGAACTTCTATTTTCGTACTTGCACAATTTGTTATAAGGTTGTCAGTGCTCATGAAAATTCAGCAAACTTGCATGCTTAACAAGATAAAAAATATGGCTACATCTTAAGATCAACAGCCCAAGTTAGTGAATAATGAACTCAACGTAAGTTTCACAATGAATCTGAAATCCACCAAAACAAGGTAGATTGAGAAAATTATTGCAGGTAAACCTTTAAGAGGGAAATATTAGCAACAAGTCCACCAAGATAATGAAAGGAAGTAAAAAAATAAACAAAACCCAGCCAGATAATCCTTCACAAGCAGTTTTCATCAGTTTTATAAAAGATGGATGAGATCACTGAAACTGAAAGAATCGAGGCAGAATCAATGAAAGCAACCACAACTGGTTGAAACAGATGGCTTGCTGTCTAGTTTGAATAACCAAAACTCCAAGTTAGCAATGTGTCAACTGGGATGGGGGTGTCTAGTGAAATGAACCTGATTGAGGTGGTCTGATCACTGATGTAATTAAAATGAAGTCATCGAGGAGAAAAAATGATAGAAAATTTGTCAAGACTGTCAAATTACAGCCAAGGACCCACTAATGTTATCCAATACATTTCATTCCATATCAATGAGATCAGCTGAACATAGATTTCCATATAAGACATTTCATAGACATTTGCCGCAGATGCAATTTTGATCTACAATGGTTACCTAAAATCTTCAGTCAAAACATTATTATTGACTGGAAAAAAGGATCTTGTTCCTAAAATTGTTTAAGGTGAAAGAAAAAGCAAAAGCTAATTTGCTAATATAGAAGGTTTATATAATGCTTTGACAAAGAATACAACAAGACCAGGATGATTCACTGCTTAACGATCATTTCTTGAGCATGAAGAAGAGTGGTCTGAATGCATGATGTGTCGTAGAGTGCAAGCAAAAATAACATGCTTTCAAAGTATTATAAAGGGCCTCTCCAAAATATTCTTACAAGCATGAAAATGAAAAATCTGAGAAGCACACTTGATGAGTGCCTAAAACAATTATAGAAGATAAAGGTTATGCTTTAAGCACCTGGATTAGGCCCTTCACACGCCAAACATTATGCTTCAAAACAACAATTTGTTTATCTTCTGGGTGCATCGACTGCAACTCTTGTCTCACAGACTCAATTCCAGCATTATGTTCTGCCGACAACTGGACAGCCAGAACTTCTCCTGTTGCTTTAACAAGTTTCCCAAGAACAACACGGGAGTCCCCGAGATTAGCCGTGTACAGCATGCCACCACAGATAACACCAACTAGACAGCAGGAGCCAACAGCTGCAATCTGCGGATTAGTAGGCCATTGATTGGTGACTAGAGATACAAAACCTTCTTCTGTAGCTTGGAATGCCTTTCGTATTACATCCGCTGACATGGACTGCTGTTCAGTTGCAAATCCTGCAACATGCATTTTTCTCATACATATACTAATTAAAACAGAAAAACTTATTGTAGTCTGAACTATGCTGTGTCATATTTTAAATTTGTCACAAAGTGAAAGAAGAGACTATATTTTTGGAGTTTTAAAAGCTTTCCTGAAACAGCATAAGTTGAGCTAATGAAAAATAAGTTAAAATCCAACACTTGTGCGAGATGGCAGGTATCATTAATAGCAACAAGGTGGAGGGCAAAGAACATGTAAGCTCCACAGGAGTTTCAAAATAAAAACTAAAAAGTTATATTACATCTCAAGGATGGCCTCCAACTCCCCATTTAATCCAAAAAATTGCAAGACATTTGGTTTCCGAAATTAAGAGAATAACTTTCCATCCTAGTGAACTTTGTGTGCCAATTTACCAAGTTAGTAGCTTAACAAAAGGAATCAAAGGGAAGTTGCAAGGTATAAGCAAGCAATTTTCAAGAAAGGAGCATACTCTTAAGATGCTGAAAAAGATGATTGTTGATATAGCGGGATGTTTCCGGACCGCCATGACCATCATACACACCAACAAAGGTGCCATATGGCCCGGAATCAAGCAAACTCAGTGGTCCAGACTCGATCTGGCTCTGGTCCTCAAGCAAGCTGTTTGCTTGGACC